CCAGAATAACATTTGTAATAGAGGTCATTATTTTGTCATGCGTCCGCTAGGAGTCGAACCCGGGACCTCTGGCTGTCTAGTCTTTCGCTCTACCAAATGAGCTAAAGAGAAACTCCCCCTGGCCGAGTCGGTAGGAAGTGGCTAGTATTTTACATCTGGCAAACGTTACCATGTCACTGAGAACAAAGATTATAAAGTCGTCTACACAGTAAGAGAGTTAATTAAAAGAGATAGAAACAGCTGTAATGAGTCTTTTGAAAAACGGATCCATAACAAGCAGAGCAAAACATACATTCACACAACATTTCACTTCAGTATACTGGCTCTCCTTCATAAGGAGGGAAACAGAAAAACAACAAGTGCCTGTCTAATGTTTTATATATAGGTATTATCATACACGAGCACTACGTCCTATTTTAAACACAAAAGTTGGCCATCGATCGTTCCCAAACCATATGATTTTTTCTTTATTGAATACCTTTATATCAAACACCTTTCTACTATTCAACACACATGTACAATTGTATTGGTCATCTTTAAACGGGTTGTAATATACCGGTATGCGTATGCACGTACATGTAGTTAGTATGTACATTGAATTATATAAGTCCTTGGTATGTATATATAATAACCCTTAAAAACAGCAAATGTGGCCATGATCCAATAGTTGATACGAATGATTGTTTTCGAGTTACCTATAGATGGGCTCCGTTTAAATTAGATTTAAGTATATGGCCAGTACTGAGATATTTACACACTACATACTTGTATTTATTTATGGAATTAATGCTCTGGACACGCAGCCTAAAGGCTTGAATAACCGGTTATACATAATCAATGTCACTACCGTAATTAACCTACACGAAAAGTGAAAATGTTGTACTAAACTTCCGTTTGAAATAACCAGGATTTTTTTTCTTGTCTGCATTCTGTATGATCACGAAGGCAGACGATTTATTTCAGAAATTCCAGTACTTTATTAGTATATTGTACTATACACTTATAAAAGTTTATCTTTGCGTGAACTTAGACTTGGATAACAATTAAAATCAAGGTTTCTAAGGTATTATGTGCATAAACGTTATCTGGTGTGTGGATTCATTTTGTGCAATTAATTGTCATTGTTTAGAATAACATGTATGAGCATGAAATCATTGACTCCTATTCCCATGTCATGTAAAATAATTTCCCTCACGTGATTTCATTCCCCTCGTATGATCACATCCCCATCACGTGATCACATTTCCTTCACGTGATCACGCAGTTCCATCGCAAAATTACATTCCCTCATTTGATAATATTTCCCTCGATTGATCACAGTTCCGCCGCATGATCACATCTCCTTCGCGTGGTTTCATTTCTCTCAAGATCACATTTCCATTGTGATCACATTTTCCTCACGTGATCATATTCCCCTTTCGTTACGATCACATTCCTCTCACGTGACCACAGTTCGCTCGGTCACACAATCGAACGTTTGATTGCTATATCATACATGTGCATGAAGGTTAGTTGAACCGTTCTGATTGAACGATCTATTCACCAATCGATCAATCATTCAATCAATCCAATTACGATGAATCGATTTCGATCAATTAATCAATCGATCAGTTACAATCATTCAATCAATGAAATATAGTTGTCGGTCCGTGAATCGATTCAGCCATGGTTGTTGTTACTCAGTGTTTTAGTTTCATGAATAAAAATCAGTAAATTGTACAATATAATATCAAACATAGACTAACAGAGATTGTGAATTTAGTTTAATGGTAACAATGTGGTTTTATCAAAGGGATTCAACGCTTAGTAGGGGCAGATTAAATATGTGTATATATTTTCCATAAAATATTATATAAAATACTTACATTTTACAAACTGAAGATTTTTTTAATGAAATTATTGAAAAGATTGAGTGTTAGAAAATTATTTTTTGGTCCAATGTCCGGCATAATAAACAATTTTTGAAAAAAAAAATATGTCCGTGCTTGAGTCGAACCCCTTAGGTTTCTACCTTTAGTGGTGTAAGTCCCATCCCTAATCCAGCAGTGCGTGGGCGCGCGCTGTATACAGTATTACGTGTGACAAGACGACACTATTTACCCAGGGCTGGTCACCGCCTGTATATATATATACGGGTATATGTAAATACAATCATTTAATTGGAATTTCACAAAGTCTCGCCTTAAATTGCAACATTTTCCCAACAGGAAAAAAACACTTAATCGCATATTTCGACTGTTTACAAATGGCAAATCCAGCTTAGTAATGCCATAGTTGTTCATTTCTTATTTGATAAGTACACAGATATGTTACAAACTGGTAAAATATGTTGTGTTTTTTTTAATAAGAGGATTCCGATGACTTCAGTTTATGAAAAAATATCATGATAAAGTGCATTTTGTTTATTTAATTGTGAATCTACTAAGTATTACGTTAAAATACTTACCAAATAACCGCGTGTGTTTATATGAAATGTATCTAATCTTTGAGAACACAGAATATTAGAAGTATTTGTTCAATCCTAGGAATTCCATTATAAAGAGAGACAGGATAAAAAGAACTATTTTAAGCGTCACTCAAACCTTTTCACAAGGATGAAATGTTTTACAGTGTGAAAGAGGTGGATGTCAATTAAAATTTAAAAACATCAGTTTAGAATATTATCTAAATTTCATCAAAACATGCCTGGTCAAAATGTATTATTATGTATATTCTAAATATGATTTAGTTTCTGACGCAATCAACTTACGATAGTGATTCAGTCAAATATTTTATTAATATTTGCACTGTTACAAAGTGTATATTTTGATAAATATACTTTAGTCTTAATGGGACAACTCAAATAATGTATTTTGTTGGATTACTTAGGAAATCTGTGACCTTTTATCATGATAAATTCATTAATTTTGTTGTTTTGAAAATGGAAATAAGGCAAAATGAAAAACGAAAAAGAGAAAAATATACAGAAACAGCGCATGAATAAAACACTTTCCAAAATGTGTCGAAAACATGTTTTTTCAAAAAAGAAATATTAAAGGCTTGTGACACCCCTCCTTCTCTCACCTCTGTTCAAACAAAATTTCCGAGTTATCTCCATTCTCTCTTTCTCTTTAAAACCACATTGGGCTGCTACCTACTTTTAAGAAAGGCGATAAACAATGCCCCAGTAATTATAGACCAATANCTAAACCTACTTTTTAAGATAAAATGTTTTTCTGTTTGATAAAAGAATGATTTAATAAGAATAATCTAACAAATTAAGGACTTCCCACCCTTCGTAATACACATGTTTTTCTTGTCGTATTTTCGTGTCGTCATTTCCGTATTGCGTATCGGGCATTCCATTACCGTAGTGTAAATTATAGTAACACCGGTGACATTAATTAACTCACGGGAAAACACTGACATACAATTCATTTATTAACTTTCGGCCTTACGGCCCATCAGTACAAACATATGAATACAATGCANTGGTCTTGTACACAAATTAAAAAGCTATCGAATAAATGGAAATCTTTTAGACTGGCTATCCGATTATGTACAGAATCGCCATCAACAAGTCTTCATCCACAATGTTACTTCTCATACTAAAACAACTAATGCTGGTGTACCCCAGGGCTCTGTCTTAGGTCCGCTTCTTTTTCTCTTGTATATCAACGATATAACTGATAACCTTGTCAGCCCTTCCCGTCTTTTTGCTGANAGCGATATCTACCGGTCTCGATTGCTAATGAATGTGCAGACATGCGTAACTTTATTAGACTAATTCTATAATTCTTAGGAATATCTTTGATATACGATATATGATATACGATCAGACGACTTCAAGAAGGTCGTTTATGAGGCGCATGGAATGCAGACTGATGTGTTTTGTTTACCGACCTCACCTGTACGTATCACGTGCTAACACACAGTAGTGCACAAGCTCTTGGTCGCTACGACTTTTGTTGTCGAGCGAGTTACGCTGTCAGTTAAATCGGTTCACAAATACAATTACAATAACTCTGTGAAAATAGTGGTTTGTGAAATATCAAGATCCCTATAAAATGCAAGTGCATGTGCGTGCACGTAATAACGGCATACCATGCGATAGCCTATGGTTACATACGTACCTGATATGTTAATGTGCCATGAGTAAACAGGCTATGGAATGATGTCCAAAGTGTACATGATTGAGAGTAATTTTGTTCCATAAAAGAACAGTAAATTGACAATTAAATATAGTAATTTAATTTATATCCGTCGTTTTTGGTTTGGTAAAGAAAATAAGTGTCATTGTATAAATTCTATGCCTCTGCAAAAAGTTCCGATTTTTTTCAAGGTAGACAACTCTCACCAGGAACAAAATTATTGTAAAATGTAAAATAAATTAATTATAACGACTTTGTGTAGATTTCGTTCAATTTTTAACTCTTTTTGTATCAAATTATGTGTCCTGTTTGCTTTAAGCTTGTATTTAGTCTCTTTTATCCATACAATTTCAAAAAAAAAAACGCTTTTTGTAACATGTTGTAGATATTTTATGATAAATAAAATATTTGTAGGGTTGATTAGCAATGTTTATTTTCATTATTTTATTGTTGTTATAGTTTTGAACAATGCCACACGCTCCAAAAATGTGAAAGTGTTGAATTTGACAAAAAATCAATTTTCCTGTATTTTTTACAAAAAAGTCACCAGTTTATCAGAATGCTTAGATTTTCATAAAATCATCTCTACACAGTGACATAACCATTATGTGAAACTTTCATTGAATTCTGCTGGCTATGATTATCTGAGCTATTCGTTCCTAATGCCACTGTGTATTTGTCAAATGGATAAGAGCGTCTTATAAATTGCTATGATTTGAGTTTTTTTTTAATTGATTAACGTTATTCATTTAATCAAGGATGTGTAGTGGACTACACATCCTTGATTTAATGGAATAAGTACGGTAAAGCTAAACGTGCACAAGACTCGCAATACACATAAGCTTTTCACTGATTCTGACCAGATGTATGTCCATTTCCGGTGACGTCACTCCTAGTCAGTCGGAATCGAAAATCCACACACACATCAAAATGGCAAGTGCAGTTTCGGAAAATGTGGAGACATGGAAGGCAAAGTTGGACAAATTACTTCACGAGAAGAATTTCGCAACCGAAACGTTAGAAAAAATTGAAAAGAAAACCGGAGTTCGGCGTTTATATGTTGCAATAGGTGAGCAAAGAGAGTCAGTATCAGTAAATGGGAGGATCAAACAGCTGGTAAAACGCACTTTCTTGTAAGATATATGCAAATTAATATATCTCTGGAAGCGAGAAACGTTACATTGTTCAAAATTGTGTGACTGAAGCTAGATAAATAAGCAAATAGATAAGTATTTCTCGATTAAAGTACATTGCTGCAGTATGCATAGGTTCCTAATGGTTGGTCGTTTTATGGGCCTGAGTTTTGCAACAGCTGTTCTGTGGACATCAGGTCTACTAAACTTGATCTGCATTGGGGGGTAGGTTGTGCAGTCATAACCAAATATTAGCAATAACCTATATAGTCAAGGTTTTCTGATATTAGCCCTATGTCTTTTAACCATTTACACATCATTCTTGTGGTCCATTTCTTGATTTGAATTGTGGACATGAGTGAGCATGAAAGTCTGGAGAAAATTTGAATCATTTTCCCGTTCAGTTGGACACAATGTGAACTTACTAAAGTGTGATGGTTCTTTACTACATCACCAGCTATACATACTGCTACACTATTCTAGTCATTGATCGCACAATGTAAAAAATCAGTACATTTCCTTATCTATATTAATGAAGTTATAGCTTTCAAAACTACAATATTAATTTTCTTTTTTAATGTGAATCGGTCCGTGTTCTGTTTTTGAACACAATCAACAGGCTTTTATCAACAAAAAGAGCAAGTCGAACACTGGTATACATATTTGTGCCACTTCGATATATTGATAGAATTGGCTGTTGTGAATTGATCTTATTTGTCAGTCTTAACAATTGTGTTTTATCTGGGGTATATAACAGTTAAAGTAACTGTTGGTTAGTAAATTAGACGCTTGATTATGTTAATATACGTGTTGTATATAAATCAGAATACATTTCATAAAGTTGTAAATAGATTTATGCTGTCCAGGATCCAGTAGATAAAAAGGATCTCTAACCATATTTAAGGTGTGTACATGCAGTGTGATTATTCCACCTCTTTTTGACAGGGACCTGTACCTTTTTTGAGGTCTGAATTTGCAAAAAATAAAGTGATTTTTCTATTGATTTGGGGAAATCGAGCATAAATAAACTAGGGAAGAGGCCTTTATAAGGCCACAAACACACCTTAAAAATATAACTAATATCAGATATTCTGACCAGGGTCCAGTCCATTTCACGTTAAATGTATAATTATTCTGACCAGGGTCAAGTCCATTTCACGTTAAATGTATAATTATTCTGACCAGGGTCCAGTCCATTTCACGTTAAATGTATAATTTGGTAATGTTGACAGTTGAGTGTTTATTATTTTACAGGTCTGCTAGCGATTCTAGGACTCTACCTGATGATTGGCTATGGTGCCCAGTTTGTGTGTAACTTTGTGGGTTTCCTGTATCCTGCCTACGCATCGTAAGTGAAATATATAGATATATATATACAGTATTTATGAGTGTACCACTGTCGCTCTGAGCTATTTGATTTTTTGTTGGGGAAAGTGAACATTTTCAAAACTTATTTACCAAAATATAGGTTGGGCCAAACGAAAAATATATGTTTTCCTTAACAAGTTGGAAAAAATTAGGGTAGGTAGGTTTAGCTAACAAGTTTTATTTTTGAAAATATTTTTATGTGGTTTATATAGGAGAGTGGTCTTGACTTTAACAGTAATTCTTCAAAAATTGCCTAAAAAAGTTTCGGGTATATGTAGGTAGGGTTACCAGAAACACCAAATATTTTTTGTTTGGCCTTGGGCTAGGATCCAGAAAATGTTTCAATATCTGTTTAATTGAGGGTTAATATACTCTTAATATAAAATGTACACCCCTAACTGGCCTAAGTGTCACATTTTTATGCCCCACAAGTTTATGGAGGGGGCATGCATATAACTAGTGTTGCCCTTATAAATGCGTCTGTCTGTCACATCACTTCCAATATCGGTGTCATTGCTCTAGCAATTAATTTCTTAAAATATCTGATTAAACTTTTATACAATTAAGTATAACTTGAATGAGTTAATTATTATTTCATAGTTTTAAAGCCAAGGGTAATATTGCTACAGTATTTACAAAGATTTGTTAAGTAATGGCACCAATTTGCATGGGAATTGGGGCATTTATTTGCATTTCCCAATATATATGTGTATGTCAGATACATTTAATTTATGTGCATTGTATATAAATGTATATGTTAGTAATTACATACATTTGTACCTAGTATATTTTATGTTTGTATAAACGACAAAATACAGTTGGAACTTTCCCCTGGGTTACTGAAGCAGTAATCAATCCATACAATTAACTGTTTACATCTCACAGTCACAAAAAGGTAGCGGAAATATTTCCATCCAGTTTTAATAAGGATTGCATCATCAACAGAAACAATGTATACAGGAAGGATTAAATAATGGGGAAGTTGAATGATGATCGGTGAAACTTCCTGAAAAATCCAATCACATATCCTACAGGGAATTAGGAACAGCTATCGTGTAGGACCGACAATAGGCCAGAGATAAGATGATCCGGAAGGAGCTAGCTATAGGGAGCCCTGAATCTGTCAAAACTGAAAAAGGGCCCCTCTCATTTTCCATTTTCATTTGCTGTCATCATCTACAGGGATTTTCCCTGTGGGACAGGAAGATGTTGCAGCATTAATATTAGACTTACAATTATATGTTTTAATGCATATTTTCAATAGCTTTAATAATACATAGAAGGTCTACAATAACATGACTCTTGCTATGTACAGTATATAATTGTGCAACTGTGAGACATAATGAATCTCCCTCTTTCGCTGCAACAAGTTTAGGTGGCGACTGGGGATAGGAATTTAGGAATTGGGTTATACTCAACGCTTGGTTTGGTTTTCTGTTGTCCATCCATCCATTTGTAGACACAATTTTGTCTGATGTATTCACTGCTTCAGTTCATCAACTTTCGCTGATTGGAAACAACTTTATTTAAAGTCAAACCTGCCAGTCTTCATCTGATTTTGTTTGTACACCATGCAGTAAACTTTCTGTCAATTATGTATGAGCAGACAAGGGCATGTCAGTGCTCTACTTAGTGTTAAAACCTGCTGTAAACTCTTGAGATGAAGAGATATACAAGTGATGTATATCATTGACACATTCTTCAGTTACATTATTGTTTAGCTAAATTTACCATTTTAACTGGTGTCAGCACTTAAAGAATAATTTTTGTGACAATTATGGCTTGAACAATATTTTAAAAATATATCCGAAGTCCCCCAGAGAAAGGATATACTGTAGTCAAGATCTCAGTTGTCTGTGTCCAGAATCGCTGATATATAATCTGTATAAAATATGAATAGCTAAATCTAATATTTAATAAATGATATATACTTCCTTTGTCTTCATGCATTTGAAAAATCAATATAAACAGTGATTCAGAATGTACCATATAAATGGTTACATGTGTATAATTTAATTAATTTAGATTAGAACATGGAACTGCTAGTAAACAGTTTCCAGCAAGCTGTTTCTGAGAAATGTTCCTAAAGTGTTGCTGCTAATATAAAACATTTCACTCTCACTTTTTGTCTTCTGTCGTGTCAAACACTTTCTGTATGAATTATTCATCGAGAGTTGACATATGTGTCTGTCTCCAGATAGACAAGCTATATAGTTATAGCGGACCCACCCAGGCATGTGATGCTGACGTAAACAATACCTGTCCCCAAACCACAGACCAGCGGCCCCACCCAAACCTCCATGATGGCATGATGCTACATTAGTTATCATTTCTTGTACAATAACTTATTTGTATGATATGACATAAACATCTACACTTACACACACAAAAAAAGACACTTGTTGCATGTATACCAGCTGTATATACATGTAGATATATACAAACTAGCTACTGTAGCTATAAATAGAGTTCTTGTTAAGAAGCCAGTCGTCAGCAAAAAAAGTGTCTACTTTTCACGGACTTTGAGCTTCTGCTTTTCAAGGACTTTGAGCGAGGTATTTTATGGAGTATAGAATTAATCTGTTTATGACATTGTAGACTGTCAACATCCAACTGGTCTCTTTAAAATCAACCACCTGTTTGAAATCTTAAGAAGTGAAAACACTTATTGTAGTATGTAGTATACATATATATACACAACGTTAAAATACCCTACACAGATCAGTGTTACGATATACATGTAATCAACAGCAATAATGTTGAATTAAAATATTTAAAGAATGTGTCAACAAAGCTTGTGAACTTGTGTTTCTTGGAGTGGTTTGGTTGGGGCCAGGGGACCCAGGTTTTCAGAAGTCAGAGGCCAGGGTGGAGCCCTGAATTGGGAACAAGATATAAAACTACAAAGTTTCTGTAGTTGCTTATTTAATTTGTCTTATATAGAATTCTGGATATGCTAGATTCTACAAAAAAAAATTGAATAAATATAGAGGAAAGTGGCCATAATTTGATAAGCTGAAAAAACTACTGGCTAGCTAACTCTATAGCTAAATATTAATGTTGCTTTCATAAAAAAAATCATCAAAATCATGAATGAATAGTACATCCTTTTTATCATCATCAAGAATATAAATATTGATTAGTACATATAACATATATGGAACTGGGCAGGGTTATTTGATAATCAATACTAGTATTATACACTACACAGCTGTGTAGTTAGTACAACACGTTACACAAAGTCAACTAGTGATGCCCTATATATAACACAATGATTCATTTTTCTCTTGTGTGCAGTGCATCAGTTTGTCTGGTGTATTATATATATACCATGACACTCTGTAAACAAAGACATGTCATCATATTTTGAGCAAAATTAGCAGCATCAGAGCCGGTGGAATTGTAATTGGCAGTGACCTGTCGTCCTGTTTAGATGTATCATGCTATCAGTGTTTGTCAAGCTGATCATGGTTAGTTTTAGATGTTAACAGATGTGTCACTGGTATACCTACAATATATAATTAATGTAAGCACCCGAGTGTTGTTCCTTTGGCCTTGTCATCATGGGCAGAGCCCCTTAAACTAACTGATTATATGCTTTACGCATGCCGATTGTCTGCAGTGTCCGATCCAAAACAGAAGACAGAGTTGGGGTCACAGTTGTTTTATTTATTTTTTTGTAAAAATTGACAGCTTTGAGATTATTTGAAGGGGTGGGCCTCCTGCTAAAGGGATCCTTGTGATATTTATCCTATAAATTTTCATGTCAGAGTCAAAATTGAAAAAAAATATAGAAAAATATTAAATTGGGCCAGCTTAAAGCCACATCATGTTTTTCAATGTACAAACATGTTTGTTGAACATTATGTATGAAAATATATTACTGATTTGTGCTGTGTAATATTACCAGGGACACTGATTTGTGCTGTGTAATATTAATGTTTGTATGTATGGGCAGCTACATGTATATTTCATTATTTAAATTCATGCTTAGATATCACAGCTACAGTAATCAACCCAATAAGCGCCCAGGGTTCTTATTCAGACATTTTGCATTTGTACCTATTATTCGTGTAAAAGCCAACATTGAAATGATCTCCTAACCAGGACAGAAACCCATACCTGACTTCCAATGTACTTATTTTCAACCAATTAGCAGGGGTCGTTATGGAGTATTTTGGATTTGTAACTTTTCAAAATATTTCGATTTACATTTCAAACACCTATGACAGTTTGGTATAACATCAGGCAGAGAGCTAATTAGGAATACATGTGTAGGAGCATGGGGACTTTAGTGCCTCGGTAATTGTCTATTTTCCCGGATTATTACAATAGACACTGATGGAAATGTGAAAATAACAAACTGTGAACAGTTATATAATTATATTTCTCCCACAACCACTGTAGGTTTCCTCACTCAAGACTCATTGAATAAACCTGCTAGGAGTTGGTGGTAAACATTGTTGGTTAACCACTAGTGGGTGACACCCTGGACGTGATTTCATTGGTCAGTCTTTGATTTATGACGTCATGTAACAAAGCTTTTCAGTGTCATTTTCCATTGTGACGTCATGCTCCAAGGTGATTGTTTCCCCCAACGGAAACACAGATGATGTATTTTTCAGGGGGAAAACGTGGTTTTTTTTCCAGATAAAATACGAACATCATGTGAGAAACAGGTTACCAAACTCTTGATGATAAGTTATCACATTTATTCATCTAACTTTCGTTAGTTAATTTTCAAATTGTAAAAGACACTCGGTAAACCTTGTGTCTTAATACAATTTGAAGATTAACTAACTTAGGTTAGATAAAACATAATAACCAACCATCACTCGTTGAGGAACCTCTATGTATTTAAGGAAGTCACAGGAAACAAGAGTTTAAATCTACTTGCATTAACAAGTACATGTACATATCGTATATAGAAGTTTTGCATGTAAATATGTAATCTCAGGCTATGAACATGATTGATGTAGATGTAAAAATATGTGATTTTTTTTAAATTTCAGAATCAAAGCCATTGAGAGTCACAATAAGGAAGACGATACCAAATGGCTGACGTATTGGGTGGTCTATGCCGTTTTCTCCCTCATTGAGTTTTTCGCTGATATCTTCCTGTTCTGGATTCCATTCTACTGGTTCCTGAAGGTAATTATAAGTTTGTACGGATACTGCTGGTGTCAATCCACAGGACCATAAGGTGTTGGTTGCTCAAAGTAACCATAGCACCAGAGGACCATTAGGTGTTGGTTGCTCAAAGTAACCATAGCACCNTATAGCACCAGAGGACCATTATGTGTTGGTTGCTCAAAGTAACCATTACCACATAGCACCAGAGGACCATTAGGTGTTGGTTGCTCAAAGTAACAATTACCTCATAGCACCAGAGGACCATTAGATGTTGGTTACTCAAGGTAACAATTACCTAATAGCACCAGAGGACCATTAGGAGTTGGTTGCTCAAAGTAACCATTACCACATAGCACCAGAGCACCATTAGGTGTTGGTTGCTCAAAGTAACCATTACCTCATAGCACCAGAGGACCATTAGGTGTTGGTTGCTCAAGGTAACCATTACCTCGTAGCACCAGAGGACCATTAGATGTTGGTTACTCAAGGTAACAATTACCTAATAGCACCAGAGGACCATTAGGTGTTGGTTGTTCAAAGTAACCATTACCTCATAGCACCAGAGGACCATTAGGTGTTAGTTGCTCAAGTCAAGGTAAAAATTACCAACTTGCAGTCATCCTTGCAATAATCTATTATTTATTAATAAATAATAATAAATATTATTTACATGATATAGATCACAAAACGAAAACATTTGCTGAATATGATAATTCTCATTGTTTTTATTGTGTTAGTACATAATTTAAGACAACAAAAATTGGTACCCCCCTTAATTCAAAAGTGTACCCCCAAAATCTGCTGGTGTACCTCCTTTTTGCAAACCTTGGGAGTACCAAAACCACCAGGTAGAAAAATTAGTGAGAACACTGTGGTTCTAGAATTACAGAAGCCATTAAATAAGTACTACATCGTATTGCTACTGTGGACATGTGAGTGATCGATTCTAATTGGGTTGCATTGGATCTGCCAACTTCATCCTTCGAGTTCTAACCCAAAACTAACATTCATTTTATTTATTGTTCTAGGTAAATATGAGTGAAAAGTATGCTATAGAGAGGTAGAAACACTGTCGTTTGAGTTTGTTTGTATCCTCCTTTTGATGTTTGAATACTTGTTTGTTCCAGTGCTGTTTCCTTGGTTATTGTATGGCCCCTATGACCTGGAACGGATCCCACACGATCTACAACCGAGTGATCCGGCCGATCGCACTCAAGTATCAGGATAGGATTGATACTGCCCTCGACAAGGCCTCTGATGCCATCCACGAGGGTGAGTTGCCTACACCGATCATAGCCTATTATATCTACAAATCTTTAATGTTGTGATATACTTTTTGTACATTCTACATATTTATCTATAAACATATATCATTTAGTGCTATGTGCTGAAAACTGTTGTATGAAGCTTTGTCCTCCTAAAGAAACATCAATAAATGTAAGATTTTTGAAGTCAAACATTTTAAGTTCACCTAGCATGACTATGCCTTGGTGCAACTTCTGTTGCCAACTTATAATAATTCTTTAAACAACTGAATTTGTTTGTTCAAATGAGTGATCTTGACCACCTTTCCTGGTCACAGTCATCAATTGTGTTGAACAATATATATATACAGATATATAGATGTATACATGCAGCTCAGAGAATGAAATATATCCCCTATTGTTTCTGAATGGATGGCTCTGAACTTTATTTTCAAATGAATGACCTTGAGCCTCTTTCAAGGTATCAAAGGTCAAAAGTTTTAAAAATAACCCAAAAGATACAGTTGAGCAATTAAGATCTTTTTCATGTCTTTTGCACCCCCACACACATACACACACACACTTTTTGTATAAAATTAAACTTTAGGTTTAAATATGCAGTGTATTGATATTTAGACTTAAAATATCATACAGTTGATTGTGATGTACAAAATTCTTCTAAAACAAACTATATCTGTTTACAAAATGGTCCTGAAATACACAAATAATTAGTGAATCAAATAGTTTTGGCCCTGAACAGTCGGAAATATTCATGTCAACCAAAGGTTTGTCTATGTATGTGTATTATCTTATTTGGAACGACTTAGACATATTTTGGGTAAGAAGGGTAGTTGTGGGACAACAGGGCTTTGGGGCGGATCATCTTTCACACCCATTGCTTACTTTTATTATTGCTGATTACAGCAGTTTGTTCATTTGCTTTATCAAAGACCACTTTGCATACTTTTAGTCTGTTAGCCTTGGAGCTCCAGTTATAGCAACGAACAAATGTTTGGATTGTGTATATTTAGACAAATTCTATATTTTTTATATGAATTAATGGTAAGATACTAGTGTATATTTAGACAAATTCTATATTTTTTATATGAATTAATGGTAAGATACTAGTGTATATTTAGACCAATTATATTTCTATACATTTAGACATATTTGTATTTGTAACAATGCTCACACACAGATATGATATAACTATATTTTATTTTCTGCTTGTTTTATGTTCTATGTTGTAATTTCTGTGTGTTGATGTGCCATGCCGTCTGTAGTTATTGTACATGTAAATGTGTATTCTAATGATATGACCTCTGACTTTTCTGCAGTGTTTGGGGGTACGTTACTGTAATAGAAGTCTACCACCATATAACCTGACATTTAACCTGAAGTGTTGTTTAGTTACGGCACCCTGGAATGAAGCTTTTCATGTTTTCAGATTTACATGTATTCAAGTCTCGTGACACTAATCTTTCTGAAATAAACATGAAGTCTTGTAGTCACTGATTATTACCCGATACCTTGTTTAAGAAGCCAGTGTGGATTATTACCCGATACCTTGTTTAAGTAACCTGGGTGGATTATTACCTGATACATTGTTTAAGAAACCAGGGTGGATTATTACCTGATACCTTGTTTAAGAAACTAGGGTGGATTATTACCCAATACTTTGTTTAAGAACCGAGGGTGGATTATTACCCGATACCTTGATTAAGAAACCAGGGTAGATTATTACCCGATACCTTGTTTAATTAACCTGGGTGGATTATTACCTGATACATTGTTTAGATACCTTGTTTAAGAAGCCAGTGTGGATTATTACCCGATACCTTGTTTTAGTAACCTGGGTGGATTATTACCTGATACCTTGTTTAAGAAACCAGGGTGAATTATTACCCGATACCTTGTTTAAGTAACCTGGGTGGATTATTACCTGATACATTGTTTAATAAACCAGGGTGGATTATTACCTGATACCTTGTTTAATAAACTAGGGTGGATTATTACCCAATACTTTGTTTAAGAACCTAGGGGGGATTATTACCCGATACCTTGTTTAATTAACCTGGGTGGATTATTACCTGATACCTTGTTTAATAAACTAGGGTGGATTATTACCCAATACCTTGTTTAAGAAACCAGGGTGGATTATTACCCGATACCTTGTTTAAGAAACCAGGGTGGATTGTTTTAATTTTCTTTGAAATGCATCTCGTTTGTCTCGACAAAATAATTCTTTGAGGAGATTTTAGTATAAATAATTTACTTTAAAAAGTTATCGTTTATCTGCTCTGTTTGAAGATGGTAACACAAGATAGGTACAGAGATTAAAAAATTGCAACTATTGATTAGACACTTAAAATATATTTTTAAAAGATAAAAAGCCAATAGATATGTGTTTGAAATGTTGAGACAAAAAGCCATCGGTGCAATATATCCTTTTGTTATCTTCCAAATGATTCCATATTTCGGTAGAGGTCAAACTATGGCATTAGGTGAAGGTCAAACAAAACACAAAAGGTCAGACTAAGGTAGGGGTTATGCAATAAGAAAGTACATGTAAAACAATAGGTAAAAAATAAATTATCTGATAATTAAACAAAAGTTAGGTATAAGGAAAACAGTTATTTATCAGACTTATAAACTCAATCACGACTGGTTTAGCATGCGTTCCTGAATGTTGCACCCTCTGTTTCTGAATGTGGTCAGATCTGTGAATGTTGACATGCCCCTTTTGTTTTGTTTCTGTACAAAGTGTTTGGCCTGGCCAAACAGTCAGCCAGGGAATGTGGTAAGTTACTGTTGGTCAGCTTGACCACTGGAAATTACTTCCCTTTGTTGTGATCGGTTAATCTGCTATTTCATTCCGAAGGCAAGGAAATTTTCAGGTTATGAATTATGAATAGACACACTTGGCATTTTGTGATTGTTGGCACAGATAATGTTGTTGTGCATTTGAAGTGATGAGAAATCATGAAGAAATATTCAAGAAATATTTTTCATTAGTTAACTCATTCACCCCTGAAGACACATTTGAACTCTTCCAATTCAAAGGTTGGAATAGTTCATTGTAAAATACAGGGGTGAAAGCGTTTAGCTTTTAAGATAAAGCAATGCAATTAACCTTTGAACAAAGAACAAATGTAGACTGAAATTGTTTTGTTATTCTACCAACTTTTATGTGATAAATAAAAGTGCGCTTTTTCATGACTTGAAAAATTTCCATAATGTTTAAAAAGTATTTTTTAAAGCTTTTGAAAGATGAAGTTTAATGTTACATGCTGTAAGTCTTGTGCTTGATCCAAACTCGATACAATACTGTAACAGCTTGAGTTAGAAATGTAGTGTTTGTGTGCCATGACTAAATATAGCTAACAATAACGGTGTCGCTCTAACATGATTTTGTAGGTAAAGTCATCCTTGATGACAAGTTGGCTAAGGTTTTCGGTATTCCTAATGAAAACGTCACTGGCGATTACTGTGTACCAGTTGTGCGCAAAATTAGCAAGTGTTGTGAGTAGCAGAAATGTAAAAGTTTATAATAACTTTTACATATACACACTATAAACACATATATACATACATATCTTTATGATCATGATGACTGAAGTTTATTACTTGTACATACATTCCTATCTTTATATCTTCCTGACGAAAGATTATATATAATTACATGTATATGATCTAGGCTATCTTTTAACTTCATGTTATGACTGTTAGATGTTGCATGGTATTTTTCATTACAGTCAAATCTTTTCAAAAAAGTTGGTAATTTTTTCTCTGTATCAACTATTTTCATCATTAAGCAACCGTTTCATGATCATATTTTCCCCTCTGTTTATAACTGATTACAATATAAACTGTGAAAAAGACTTTGTATATCCCTCTGTTTATAACTGATTACAATATAAACTCGGAAAAAGACTTTGTATTTCCCTCTGTTTATAACTGATTACAATATAAACTCGGAAAAAGACTTTGTATTTCCCTTTGTTTTGCTTATGTTATGTGGCTGTGGGGATGGGACAGTGAAAGGGAAGTTTTTATTGTTATGTCCCAGATTTCAAGCTTCAACATCACTGGAACGGTCTTTATACATGCATACAATATAGATAAATTTCGTTTTTAAAGACTAAAAAATTCTCAGCCATTAAAAGCTATTCAAATGCAATTCCTTATTCTATCATACATAAAAAGCTGACATAACATACCTGCCAACCCCGGATATACTGAAAGAGGGTGCACATGATGACCCTCTTTTGAAAATAAAAAAGAGGGTCATAGTGTGTGCGTCTGCTTTTGCAACAAATACAAAAGCTGCCGATATTTAGAATGGCAGGTGTTCTGATTTGTACTATTTTAGGTACATATTAGCAGTTCATGTGTAGTTCATATGTAGTTATTATACAAAAGATAAACCTGGGTACATCAATGTACATTTTATGTAAATGTAATAGCAGTGAGATGCTCCAGTGCATTAACCCTCATGAAGTTTTACTGGCGTAAAATTTGATGTTTTGATCAAGCACATGGCTTCACGCCTCCCCTCTGGTAATTATCCGTTCCTCCAGATTTTGCACCTCTTCCTGGCCTCAATCAGCATTCCCATTTTTCAAACCTGGTGCATTAATCTGCTTGCATGGCTATCCTCCTTCCGTTCTGATTATATACAGCCTAGCACGTACATGACACACATACAAAATGTACTCGACACAGCCTTCATCGCAGCTTCCATTGGAAACCTGCAGTCATAATGTGTTTCTATGATTGAACACCCTGGTTCATTATGATATATATTTTAATCAGCATTTGGCCGAGAAAATAACATATCCTGGTGATGTAGTTCTGTCTGGGATGTGTTCAGTCTATAGTTCCTCTCTATAATAATATCCTGTCTAGTTACCAGTATTCTGAGTTATTTTTTATTTTGTTATTTCAGTTTTAGTTTGAAACTTTGGTATTGTCTTACTACTTGCTTTGTTTCATAGTGATGACTAATATTAGTGTTGATTTCTTTCTATAAAATGAATATTTAAACATGTTTTGTTTGTTGTAATGATGGTTTATAATTAATGGAAAATTGGTTGAAAACATGCACCACTTAAAGAAATGTATTGGAATCAATTATTTATTCATCCCTGATGGGTGCAGAGTTTCTAATATTTTCCATTTGACCATTTGACAAGAGATTCTTTACAGATTAACTTAAATAATTTGAATATGATTCTTTTGTAAATATTCTTGTTGCTGGATTTTCATATACGATAGTTATAAACTTTTAAATCTACACACAGCTATATATAGACAGGATACATATTGTATACATATAGCAGTGCATTATCTGATTAAACCAGTCATTTCACTGTTAATGTGGATTTATTTTATACATAAAATGTTAACCTTTAAGATATATATGATATACAAATAGTGAATGGTGGTAAATCTCCTCAAATTAAGATTAAATAAATCTGGTTCACTGATGACCTACAAATAACTTGTATTTCCTTTATTATGATATTTACGGTACTAAAAGTACATCATTTTATGTGCTTGTTTTCCCTTTCTAACATGAACTTAATGTTTTCATCTCCTGAAATATTGTAAAGAATCAAAAGGAAGTGTATATTTATGTTTATGAAAACTTTGCACATTTACGGTAGTTTGATGTGTTGAACGGCTGTTGCTGTACTCTTGTGATTATGGTACCAGTGTACACTGGGAAGTATCTAAGCCCATAGTACTGATGCTGATGCTGATCGGTCAGCAGCAGGTTAATGCCATCTGTTTGTGGTTTACATAATCATGTCATGCCGTGATTTTATGTAGATTTATGAGCAATTATTTCCCTGTAATGAGGTATGCTATCAATTAGGTATGTAGAGTAAATTAGCTCTATAATTACCAGTATATTGTAACATACATACCTAGTACTAGTGTATCTGGTGTGAATGTGATGTACAAGGCCACTATAATCAGTAAAGATATAATTAGCAGGTTACACACTGTGGTATGATGGTTATATATACATTTAATGAGTTATATATATGCATTAACTACACCAGTTAATTTTCTCATGACGAAAGAGGTGAATGTCAGGTCAAATAATCTTCAAATTTCGTAATTAGATATACAGTATACTTTCAGCTAGTACAGAAAAAATTGCTAAAACATTCAATTGGTGAATATTGGTCTTCAGTGAAAAGCATACCATTTATATGTATGTAGGACAACCCAACATCAGTGGGCATACTTTAGGGACGCTCCACCATCAGTGGGCATACTTTAGGGACGCTCCACCATCAGTGGGCATACTTTAGGGACGCTCCACCATCAGTGGGCATACTTTAGGGACGCTCCACCATCAGTGGGCATACTTTAGGGACGCTCCACCATCAGTGGGCATACTTTAGGGACGCTCCACCATCAGTGGGCATACTTTAGGGACGCTCCACCATCAGTGGGCATACTTTAGGGACGCTCCACCATCAGTGGGCATACTTTAGGGACGCTCCACCATCAGTGGGCATACTTTAGGGACGCTCCACCATCAGTGGGCATACTTTAGGGACGCTCCACCATCAGTGGGCATACTTTAGGGACGCTCCACCATCAGTGGGCATACTTTAGGGACGCTCCACCATCAGTGGGTACCAGTTATGGATATCTCACTGTAAGTGGTAATCACTTAAATTGTTTTTCCGATCATGAGTGAGTAAATTTTATTTTATAAAACTTAATTATCTCCCTTTAATTGCAGCCGGAGAAGTTGCAGAGAAAATGGCTTCAGAAGCTGCCACGGAGGCAATAAAGAAGCAAGTCGTGGATTCGTCCAAGTCAGACTAAACAAGGGAAGGAAAGATCTAAATATATACTGCAGTTACACAAGAGGTCCCAATGATGAGCCATTTATGCACTGGATATTAACGATAGACAGCATACTCTCGGAACTGAGGTTACGGACAAGATCATTATAATGACTGGAGTGCCAGTGTATAACACGTGGACCAGGTGGTTACATATTGATGTGAATTTCAATACAGTTTGCTCTTTTATTTTATCACAATTTACCCAGTAAGATTTTTTCTTTTGCATTTTGAAATGTTTGTGGAGGTGTTATATTGTATGTACGTCGTGATGTAAATTTACATGATTTGATGGTCAAGTATCCGAGATACAGCTAGTTTAACTTATTCACCCCTGAAATTCCAAACTCTGAATTGGAGGAGTTCAAATGGTTCTTCAGGGGAAAATATGTTAAGGTAAAGCCTTATAGGAAACCATGTTCATTGGTAGTTTTCAATCCATGACATAAATATATGTATTATAGGTTTGTTTGTGTAATATGGTGGAGACATGTATTCTGTATTAACACAAACCTTCTTTGTACATGTTGTATTTACATTGTAAAATTACTAGATTAACAACGTAGTAGATTAGTTAGCATACCTAAACATGTTCGTCTCGTTGAATGTAGATTATTCTCCACTGATATTTGGACTTTTGATGTGTGTACAACTTTAATTCAACAGCAATGCTTCAGATTAATGTCATGTTAATGAATTTATATTGTACCTGTAGCTAATACCTTAAGACCCATCAGAAATGTAACTTCTGTTTCCTCTTGACAGTTGTCATCCTGAACATTCCTCTTGTGTATCTTATCATCCACCTCGTCCACATGTGTTCACCGGGCGTTCTAATTTTGTTTTGTATTGACAGCCACAGTGTAGTGTGTCACAAATATTTGTTTGTACACATATAATTGATTACTTCCTAACAAATAAACAAACAAATATTTGGAGATGAAATAATGCAACAGACCTTTGTGGGTACTGTATTGATAGTGTTAATGAATAGAAATGAATATCATCAACACAATTTTCGTGACAGTCTGATATTATGGGTGATTTCATCAAGCTGGTTATTTTAATATGTCTTGTTATTTGAAGAATTTTTTTGCAAGAATAAAGTGAAGTAAATTGTTGCTATATTTCATCACAGGGGTGGTTGAAGGCTACACATGCACTAACCATTGGAGGAAGATTTGTATCACTCCACTGTGGTTTTCATTATGGAAAACTTGCCAATCTTGTGTTTTGATATTATTCTGGAAGGCAGAATATTGCCATCTGTAGAAATTCTTTGAAACAGATCTTAAAGAGTTAGGTGTAGTAGCCTCTTGTATGTTACTTCATACAGTTAAGATGGGGTGTATCTTGTATGTTACTTCATACTGTGTTAAGATGGGGTGTATCTTGTATGTTACTTCATACAGTTAAGATGGGGTGTATCTTGTATGTTACATAAGAAGGTGAGTGTCTTACAAGTTACTTCCTGGAGCGAGAAGTGTGACACCCTGTATGTTACTTCATCCTCTCTATCTAAATGTTAGTGCTGTTTTACACCTGAAGTATTTTCCTAATCCTATCTCTAGCAAATCCAAATGACATGTGTCTCTTGGAATTCACCCATTTTGTATATCTGTCAACTTTGGACATTTTTTCATATCTGTCGACTTGGAAATCGACTATTTTTTTTTATATCTGTCAACCTTGGAAATTTCCCATTTTGTGTATCTGTCGACCTTGGCTTGTCTCCTCTTCTCAGTGTGAGGGTTCATCTCAAGACGTTTTTTGAAATATTAAATGTCAATCTTTGGATCCATTGAATTCATAGTTGGGAAATTATAAAGTATTTTTGCTTGGTTAGAACCTGTCTTTAAACATGAGTGCTATTTAACTTAGTGATCGTGATTTATCGACATCTGTATAATTTTTTGCAATTTTGCTGTACATAAATCAGTTATTTAATATTTATTGTTGAAAATTCAGATTTTTCTCAAAGTGCAATGTATACATTTTTGATTTGATTTGTTTGCTTTTCACGTAAATTTTGTCACCGATGTAGTTAGAACCCATGTCACTGAAATTGAAGCGATATTAGGTGTTTAATAATAATTTCTGTATCACAAAGCATGCTGATCTTGCACTACTTGCATTTAACCCATTTGATTAATGTCAGATTGAAGTCTGAAGTTTGAACCTAGTTTAGATCAGAAGAACTTGAGATTGGATCTGTTCACCTTTAATATGTTTGAATTGAATTTTGATGCATTTGATATGGCAGGGCTTCTGCCTATAATAAATACTCTACCAAGATCTCCCTTTCAAATATTTATCTTTCCACAATAACATTTAATGGCGAATTTAAGCATAACCTATCTTGAAATCATGCTCAGAATAACAAGGAGGGTAGTAACTAACATGTATGTTAAAATATAACGGTTTTAAATGCCCTAGTCATAGCAAAGTGTAGATAAGAGATATTCTCTAAGAATATGAATCAAGCAATAATTACCCATGAAAAAAACCCAATGTGAAATTAGATGAAAATTAGCACAGAATCTCGTCTGAATCTTCTTGAAGCTTGTATAGGAATTCATTAAAAAATTCCTGTCCACTTATATAAATGAGAGAATTTCATTTCGCTCCAGTTTTTCTGGCTGCTGTGTGCCTTAGTACATGTGCCATGTCTTGTGTTGCTGGTCGGAGTGGGGTGATGCATGCAATGGAAAGCATTCCTTCATTGAATATTTTTTCAGCTTTCATGCAAAAATATTGCATCCACCCATTTTTTCCCCTAATTCTGTTATCTTTTATGAGTTGTCCCCCTTTGTCTACATTCCTTCCTAAAACAAAGTTCTGTGCGTCAAGTATCAAGTGTTTTGTGTACAAAAATTAAACTCGCATCTGTTGTTCAGTAAGCAAAACAGTAATTAGTTGAAATTTCGAAAACAATTTGATAAAATTATTAATAAGATTTTCTTTTGAAATGATATTTTGACACTTGGTTGTGGACCATATCTAGTACCAGCACATGTCTTGGGTTTCAGGACTGGGGAACACTTCTTAGGTTAATTTAATTAATATAAATCGAAAATCGAAAAACAAATTTGGAAAGAAAAATGAGCCTGTTTTAATCTGACACCATTTGGAACAAATCTTTTAATCTGACACTGAGAGATTGAATTGTAAATATTAATGGCTGGAATATATTTTTACGTATTTTTGTAGAAATACCAAGTAACATCAATCGTCATCTAAAATATTTGGTATATGTGTAAGCATCAATTGTCATATTTCGTAGATATAAAATACATCATGTACCTAAAAGTGTGTATCTGTTCAAACCCAGAGTTCTTCCACCACAAATATACATAGCAACCATACGCTTAATGTTTTTACTGGATTGGTATTTAATCTATATGATAAGCATTTAAGATATTAACCTATAGCGAATCATAGTATGATATATAGAGCTAAATTGTATCCTGTACATCTGGCAATGCTTGCGAGTATTTTTCTGGATCATACCTTGAGGTGATATATGTGCTTATTAGTACCTTACATCTCGGACTTATTAGTACCTTACATCTCAAACTTATTAGTACCTTTCATCTCAAGACTTATTAGTACCTTACATCTCCGACTTATTAGTACCTTACATCTCCGACTTATTAGTACCTTAAATCTCCGACTTATTAGTACCTTACACCTCGAGACTTACATCTCAAGACTTATTAGTACCTTACATCTCCGACTTATTAGTACCTTACATCTCCGACTTATTAGTACCTTACATCACCTTGAAGTATTTTCAGGTACTCTGTTCTAATTATAGTCATTACATCTCGGGCAATATTTGTCTGGACTATTTACATCACCCTGTGCTAATTATAGAGCGTTATCTAGGGCATAACATTGATTAATAATTCTGGACCATACTTTGAGCTCAAGTGTTAATTAACCCAGTGCTAATTTGCCGTATATTGTGGACATTCTCTGACCATCTTACGAAGGTTCTGACTGCCAGTTGGTGTTTGTCTGTACATGAAGTAAAACCTTATATGTTGTACATACTCTTGAATGGCATGCTCAATATCTTTTTCAAATAAAATTTAATATATTATTACCAAATTGAATACAAAAAAACCCTCTTAAATATGGTGTTTGTTGTTTATATTCTATAGAACTAATCTAACATAAAGAGCTATATTACATGAAATGTCAGATAATTGACATTTATCTTTTTTTAATGCAAGGTCATTTCCTTGGCCTCTCCTTCAGTTTTGTATAAAAGATACAAGAAACTTAATTTGTTGTCAAGTATAATATATAACATGAAATATAAGCTCTGAAGGGCTAGGAAGAGAAGTGGTTGGATTATTGAGGTCCCACTGTATAAAAACAAATGTTTTCGAGAGCATTGGAGATCATCATTTTAACCAAGAACAAATATATCCTTACTACTATGGAAGTAGTAAGGATTTTAGCTTTACAGCATTGCATACACTAATGTAACTTAAACAGTGCAAGTTAGAATGCAAGAACAACAAAGACACATGCTTGTTTTAAATATTCAATGTATTTTGGGATTACATCCCCACATTATAATTATTGTGTACAGTCACCTTTTCATCCTACACAGTACAAAAATAAATAATAATAATATTTCCGTATTTGTAATTAAGAAAACAACAACAATTGTTTATGAAGCTCTGTAATGGTAGGTAGCTCAGCACAACAAAGTTTAGAGAAGTTGTTTGATATCGCAGTACGTGATACTCCACTAGGAGGACAGTTTAGAGAAGTTGTTTGATATTTCACACCCACAACAACGTCTCCACCACACCACAGAGACGGAGATTGTCCTCTTGTGTTGTCTGTAGATTTATTTGTTGAATATATTCCAGAAACGATTGAGAGTGTGACAGGTTTTGGGATAATTTAGCAAGACCAATCTCCGAGATAAAAAAAAGTGCTGCATTTTCAAGAAAACCTCTCCTTTTATGAGTAAATGATTAAGGTCCGAGGCTGTTCCATGATCAAGCGCAGGCTCAGATCATCTCCCCCCCCCCCCCCATTTTTTTTTTATTAAAGTTTTGATTGACATTTACCCCAATTTGTTTGTCAATTAACTTTCATAATAATAATAAAAAAAAAATGGATGTAAGTTTTTACTGCTTATAAAGTATGATTTATGATTTCATACAATTGTCAAAACTTTGTCTGAACTTCAACATTAACAAATCCTACTTGCGGAAAATTCATTGACCAACTTGTAGCCTCAAATTCTCTTGTGAAAGGTCTATATGAAATATTACACCAAAACCATACGCCGAGTTGCCAAATTATCGAGTTCGGCCCCTAATGGTAAGCTTTGTTAGAGCCTTGAATTAGACTGTACTCCTCAGATTCATCTTAACTCATTCACCCCTGAAAACACATTTTCAAAGGTTGGAACAGTTCATTTGGAAAATTTCAGGATTAAGTTAACATACATTGCTGTAAAATCCAGTCAGCAACTGTATAGAGTTTAACCGTTCACCACTGTGGACCACAATGGACTCATCCAGATCAATGTATGGTAGAGTCTACTAAAGTTACCTAGGGGTGAAAGGTTAAGGATTGTAAGAGCACTTTGAAAATATTATTGTCCAAGTCCTGAGATAGTCTAGCATTCCTAAGTAATTAAAATTTATATCATGAACTAAAAATAAAATTTTGCATAATTGGATTTGCATAGAACATCTAACATACATAAATATAATTTTTCTATTACCATAGTAGACATGTATCATGGAAATTGATTATCTTGTAAATTTCAGGACAATTACCTCCCTTTACTTGGTTGATCACCTTCACATTGTACATTAAAAAGAAATCATTGAAAATTATTTACATGTTAGAAAATATTTAATGAATTTAATGAATTGTTTTGTCATGGGAAGGTAAACATTTTCAATTATGTGTATGTATTAATAATATAGCAAATCTAGCCTAATTAAGAAACCGCCAGCTCAAACCTTGGTTCTAAAAGCAGTTTACAAATCTGGGCATATTATCACAATGGCAAACACTGCATTGGAAAGGATGGCTGTGAAACCAAGTTATCATCAAACAAAGTTCTTAATTCTAAATATGCTGAATACTTTTTAGACATCTAACACAATGAATATGTATTTATACAAATCGCTGCAATGTTTTTCTACATTGGTTGCACATATCTTTTATTTTTCTAATTTTGAATTTCTAGGTACATGTACAATTCAAGAAAAGTATACCAGTGCTGTTCAGTTACATTTAGAAATTTTACTCACAACATGTTTCAGTTTATAAATGGAAGAATTTGCAAATTGCAGAAAAATTATAATTCAATTCCAGCAAATAGAAAAGAAAAAATTCTGTATTAAAGGAGAATGATTTAGTGCATATTTCAAGATAAAAAGGCAGAAACCTATATACATCGGGGCAGATTTTGTAAGCTTTTGAGTTGAGGCTCCATGTGCCACTGCAGGCAAAACACAAAAGAATTCCACTCTCTTTTTTTGTATGTAGAGTTTCCTCCCCTTAATTTCGTTTGAACTATTTGTATGTTGAGTTACCTCCCCTTGATTTCATTTTAGCTATATCTCTAGCGTGACTAGGCTAGTGAACTGCCACTGGCCAGGTATCACAGTTTGTAAAAGCAACTGTCCTTAGATTGAAGGGTCTAGGGTTTGAATCCTGGTCTGGCCTCGTTACATTTTTACCCTCAGAACACTAATGCTGATTCGTCTTTGTTTTTCATCTGTATCACATCTTACGTAAAAGTTATTGAAGGCATATTTTTCTTTTTAGTAATAATTGCTATAAAAATGAAGGGGAAATATTTTTCAAAAGCAAATCGGCTATTTTTCATGGTACACTCTACGTAAGTCCAACTTAAGAAAAATGTTTTGACTGTTAAAACAAATCTGCATAAATGTTTTCTATACATAAAAAACCTATTGCCACAAAATGAATTTAAGTTTTAATTTCTCAAAAACTCAAAGGTTAAAATTTTAAGGACTATACTTTTTGAATTGTTTAAAACTGTTTGCAGACGAATTCACTTGTCCAAAAATTAGTTAGTATTTTCTCATGATGTTATGATAAAACAAGCATTTGCAATTTCCCTATTTACAGCATACAAAATTGGCCATATCTTAAAAAGAAAACCCTAAGGTGCAGATGTATGCCTGTCTGAGACTGCATATAGCATATGAACCCTTCAATCTGTTTTCAGCCCTCTAATAGGCATTAATTACGAGACGTTACTGGAGGAGGAAAGCTCAAACCTAATTTATTTTCATTTTGCGTGCTTCATAACAAAACTGAACAGATAAATAAATTAACATAAAGTGACTTAAGATAATTTGATATCAGTGAGATTAATCCAACACGACTCATAAATTATCTCCTCTACCACACCGAAGCTCCTTCATATACTAACCCATTCGCTTGCTCACATTTACACACCCTCATCCATTCTTACGCATATGTATTCATTCAAAAAATATTTCCAACTCATTTATACAAGAAAATGTGGCAACTAATAATTTATATACATACCCATATTTAAAATTTATCAAGCTATGGTTTAAACCACAATGTCGTTAACTTTTACACTTACAACAAAACAGGACACTGAAGTATACATTATGACATGTATCGAGTAATATACTGCCATAAATTATTGTGCCTATGTGTCCTGTGTAATAATGAAATTGTTCAACAAATTTTGAGTCTAGGATAGGCTAGCTTTGGAGATGATTATTTAATTTTATGCATATAATTATGACATTACTGATAAAGTCAAAATTGCATACATCAGAAACTGCTTTTTGAATTTGTTAAAAATTTCTTTTTCGAAAACTGATTCCAGTGCCAGCAGATTTTAATTCAAAAGGTTTTCATTCCCTAATCAAGTTGACTCTGTCGTAACAAGTAATTTGTACAAAAAGACACGTAAATTGAAATTTCCGTAAACTGCTGTAAATGCTGGCTATCTTTAACCCTTGATAGTAAAATGTTATAGTCTAGACACTTGAGTTTCCCCCCAAATAATATTGTTATAATTTTGAAAGTACAATGTACGCAGATCCAGGATGCAAGATTTTTGGTGAGTATCAGAATATTAATCAGTGAGGCAAGCTTTGATATATGACAGTCAAGATTCTTAAATGGCAAATAAAAAGAGACTGGAACTAATGTTTAAAAAAAATCAAGGGTGTGCTTTTACATGCAAGTTTTTTTGAGTCATCTACACATAACAATTGTTCTCAATCTCCAAAATGCCAATTGGTGTAATGTTTCTGTAACCACAAAGTGGCTATTTAAGGATGAATGTTACCTTGTTGTGAAGAGTATCTCCTTCCCAAAAGATTTCTACTTTAAGAAATTTGTGTGAGTATCTTTAACTCATGTTAATGTTTATAGTAGCACAATTATATGATTCCCATGTGTAAAATGTTAGGTAGCATACACCCTTAACTCTTACACAAATTGCAGGTATAATGTGTAAGGTACCATACACCCTTAATTCTAAACACAAATCAAATGTGTAAGATAGCATCAGAAAGAATATGGTACTTATATATGGCATTATTTTTCATACAATACATCACAGTAGGTACAATGATATATACTACAACAGAGACAAACAATGATAGTAATGTCCCCTCTAAACATACAACATTGCAACAGATGATTGTCAATTTGTTACAATTGCATATTAAGGTCACAGAATATCACAATAACAAATTACAATTCACATTGATTGATCAAGTGAAATATTCAATACAAGTGGCACAATTTAAGGTATGTAAGTTATGAGATTCCAATTGACTTGAATTTACTGAAATATGAAATATAACTAATGTTATGATGTCAGATTGGTTTTCCTCACTCATTGACACTACAGAATACTTTCACATATGAAGTGGCTTGTGAAATACTTTTACCCTGCTCAAAAAACTGAGCCTAAAGCAGAAATATTGGTTGAATGAAAAATTCCATGTTAAATCTGTTAATTATAAATTATTCATCTCAAATGTGTTAATGTAATCAGCACATGTAATCAATACAAACTGGCATGTAAGGTTATGAACTGTCTGTGGAAATAAATATATAGCTTGAGCAGAAAAGCACTTAGAATATATAAAGTCTCAGAAGGGACTTGAGCAAGGCTTCTCACTTAAGACTTGAACCAATCACAATCTGACAATGGTCAAATGATCAGTAACCAACAGCATCCTTGTCATAATTACAAACAGCCAATCAAACTCCTTGTAACACACTAGGATTACAAACACTGTACTTGTCACAAATAAAGTGACCAATCATAGGAAGTGTTATAAACAAATATGTAGGCAACCAATCGCTGCTGTTGTTTAAGCACATGTCAGCAACCAATCGCAGTTGTCGTTACATTCTGATGGTTGTGTCGACGTCTCCACAGTGTAAGCAACGAGTAAGCCAATCACAGAGTAGCTGAACAAAAAAATCACCATTCACCAGCCTAAACTGGATAAACATTACAAGGAAAACAAGTAATCTACTAACAACTAATGTGCCATCACTAGCTACCCTTCTCTATCTCTTCTAAACATCGTTTTGCATATCCCTGAATATCTGCCATGTCGGCCACCGCAGAATATATCATTTCATGGAAAATGGATGGCCACAGTTTGAGTAGTTCATTCTTCTTTCTATCAGCAAACACTGTCTCTTTCACTATCTCGTTAATGTATGATCTGGCAAATGTCTTCTTGGCTTGTTGTTCCTAGGAAGAGAAACAGAATCAATAAATCTTATAGACCAGTGTAAGCATACAGAGTACTACAAATTACAAGTTAAATATGAAATCTCAGTGTGTTTATTCATGATATATTTTTTGAGTGTATTGCAAGGAAAGATATGAAAGTTCTAATAAAACTAGCTTCTTTAATTTGAAAAAAATACTTTGAGGTATCCATTTTTTAATTCAAGTCCAAAAAACTTCTCCTCTCTGTACTTTTTGTCACTGAGAAAGTATTTATTTAGATTTCTTCCTCGTTTCAATATTTTTTAAAATTATTTTAGGTTTGTAGCCTTCCATTAACATTTTTAGTATATATTTTTTTTCCCAAAATCTATTAAATAAATCTTAAACATATCACTTAGGTTTGAGTACAAGAACAGGTACTAAATTTGGGGATTAGCTGGTATCCATTGTTTTAATTTTTTTCTGATCATCTTGAATTTTGATTCTGTAAATATAACAACTGGGCCCAATTATTCAAAAATGTTGTTCTCGAGCTCAAACATGGATTATGTGCTTAAACCAATTTTCTTGTAACTTGCATAAATCCTATGACTGTCAACAAGTCAAGTCTACACAATGGAAATGGTATTTGATTATATGTCTCTCGAAATTCTTCCAAATCATTGATAAAATGTGAGTATTTATTAATTTATCGCCACGACAAGAAACAGGGCTCGAGCATGGAATGTTAGTTTGAGCATGAATGAGAAAAGTTTCGTGAATATTGACCCTGATATATAAGTTAGGAATCGTTGGATTGTCACTCACTGTTGATTTCGAGGTTGATGTGTCCGGACCAGCGTAGTTGAGTCCAGACCTCCCCACAAACTCCCCTTGTGATTTGTCAAGTTTTCCTTCCAAGAATTTCTTGGACTTTTCCTCGCTCATAGCCAGGAGCTGCTTCCTCCTGTGAGACAGAGAAGGTGAGCTATTACAACAGAGGTGAGGATATCAACAAAAATATTGTAAAAAAATCATTTTAGGCAATGCGGAATGCTCAAGGTTAGTTAGTTAGTTATTGCATTCTTAACGACCCATCAGAAGAGGTCATTAGGGCCAATAAAAGGTAAATAAAACATGAAGGTAAAGACATCAAACAAACAAAGAGGCAACTTGAAGAGTAAAAGTGCTTTGGCTAGTTATATCTTTTTGAACAGACCAACAGTTTTCAGGAAGTTTAGAATTATTTAGACACCTACTGTTTCGAAAAGGGATTTGAGATTTGTTATATTATTATATAACAGAAAGGTAAGTAAATGAACAAATTGTATATTTTTATATAAATTTAATAGTGGAAAACTTTCACATCATGAAATGTTCATCCTTGCAAAACCCATACTCGTGAAGGGTTAATTTTACCCTTTACAGTGGAAATACAACACATGGTAAGCTGTGTTCTAATAATAGCTATCCCGATGATTGCTCCATCATTAATAAATACAAAAATGTAACCTTGACCTTCAAAAATGTGTTAACCCTGTGTTAACAAATGAAATTTCAATAAATTTAGATGTCTTAATTCTGAGAAAATAGCTGGAAACTTGCTGCAGCTTATTTTTTTAAAATAACATAAGTTTAGGGGAATTCATTTGCGATCCTCTAAGTACTTAATTACTAACCAATGTGTCTGTGAGACAATCTGTGGCCTAATCTGAACTGTTACATGGTCCAAGACCATGTAGTCTATCTTATCTAAGAAACAGAATATTTAAAAGAAATTACCTGGTTTTATGTCTGTACTGGGGACCAAAATCAATTTAAACACTACATAAATATTGTTATACAGTAACAGAAAACAATGACTAGATCCGTCAACATGGTTTATAGCCTTGATGGTAGTCGAGATGGCCATGTCATGCCATTGTGTGGCCACCAGCCACAATGGGATACTTAGGGTGGCTGTCCGGCTCAACAGATCTTTGAAAGGTCGGTGAGCATATACACAATACACAGATATCACCCTTAAATCATGTCATACCAGGGGTTACATCTTATAAGAGGGGTAAATTTGTCTCTGAACATTGAATCTTAGATAAGTTTCAGATGTGATATATAAAAATCCTGGTATTGCTGAGAAAAAATTTAAAGCAGTCTACACTGTCTACACTGTATACAGTCACAAATTACTTAAACATATATGTACAACTGATCAACTTTTTCTTCGGCAGCAAATACAGTACACTGTATCTGGTGCTTTTCAATTACCTAACCTTACTCCCTAACTTACAGGGCTCGGTAATTACCTAACCTTACTCCCCAACTCACAGGGCTCGGTAATTACCTAACCTTACTCCCTAACTTACAGGGCTCAGTAATTACCTAACTTACAGGGCTCGGTAATTACCTAACCTTATTCCCTAACTCACAAGGCTAGGTAATACCCTAACCATACTCCCTAACTTACAGGGCTCGGTAATTACCTAACCTTACTCCCCAACTCACAGGGCTCGGTAATTACCTAACCTTACTCCCTAATTTACAGGGCTCGGTAATTACCTAACCTTATTCCCTAACTCACAAGGCTAGGCAATACCCTAACCATACTCCCTAACTTACAGGGCTCGGTAATTACGTAACCTTACTCCCTAACTTACAGATCTCTTTAATTACCTAACCTTACTCCCTAACTTACAGGGCTCAGTAATTACCTAACTTACAGGGCTCGGTAATTACCTAACCTTACTCCTTAACTTACAGGGCTCGGTAATTACGTAACCTTACTCCCTAACTTACAGATCTCTGTAATTACCTAACCTTACTCCCTAACTTACAGGGCCCGGTAATTACCTAACCTTACTCCCTAACTTACAGGGCTCGGTAATTACCTAACCTTACTCCCTAACTTACAGGGCTCAGTAATTACCTAACTTACAGGGCTCGGTAATTACCTAACCTTACTCCCTAATTTACAGGGCTCGGTAATTACCTAACCTTACTCCCTCACTTACAGGGCTCAGTAATTACCTAACCTTACTCCCTAATTTACAGGGCTCGGTAATTACCTAACCTTACTCCCTAACTTACAGGGCTCGGTAATTACGTAACCTTACTCCCTAACTTACAGATCTCTGTAATTACCTAACCTTACTCCCTAACTTACAGGGCCCGGTAATTACCTAACCTTACTCCCTAACTTACAGGGCTCGGTAATTACCTAACCTTACTCCCTAACTTACAGGGCTCGGTAATTACCTAACTTACAGGGCTCTGTAATTACCTAACCTTACTCCCTAACTAACAGGGCTCTGTAATTACCTAACCTTACTCCCTAACTTACAGGGCTCGGTAATTACCTTACTTTACTCCCTAACTTACAGGGCTCAGTAATTACCTAACCTTACTCCCTAACTCATAGGGCTTGGTAATTACCTAACCTTACTCCCTACCTTACAGGGCTCGGTAATTACGTAACCTTACTCCCTAACTCATAGGGCTTGGTAATTACCTAACCTTACTCCCTAACTTACAGGGCTCGGTAATTACGTAACCTTAATCCCTAACTTACAGATCTCTGTAATTACCTGACCTTACTCCCTAACTTACAGGGCTCGATAATTACCTTACCTTACTCCCTAACTTACAGGGCTCGGTAATTACCTAACCTTACTCCCTCACTTACAGGGCTCGGTAATTACGTAACCTTACTCCCTAACTTACAGATCTCTGTAATTACCTAACCTTACTCCCTAACTTACAGGGCTCAGTAATTACGTAACCTTACTCCCTAACTTATAGGGCTCGGTAATTACGTAACCTTACTCCCTAACTTATAGGGCTCGGTAATGACCTAACCTTACTCCTTAACTTACAGGGCTCGGTAATTACCTAACCTTACTCCCTAACTTACAGATCTCGGTAATTACCTAACCTTACTCCCTAACGTACAGGGCCCGGTAATTACCTTACCTTACTCCCTAACTTACAGGGCTCAGTAATTACCTAACCTATTCCCTTATTTCTAGTTTCATACTTTCCACACCTTATTTTCTCATACTTGCTAACTTTCCCGATTTTGGACCCTAAAACTGAGCATGTTCAACCAGTGAATTTGCTAAACTACCTTATTCCTATTTTCAAAGATCTTATGTTTTCATCTGAAAGAACACCTGAAAAGATGTCATTTAAAAATCTTATCCCCATTCAGAGATTCAGAGCATGTATTTCACCTATACACCACCTTGATGTGGGAAAATATTTAACCTGGACAGGACCTTATCCAGTAATACTGCTATGTCATTTTTTACAGTGATCTGTTATCGGAAAATGACAACAAAATGGTGTCATTTTAGTACTGAAGAACTTTTCAAAGGTGAACTATTTAAAAATTTATTTTATCTTACATATTTTATAGTATATATGACATAGCATTTAGGTTTGGGTTGTTTTTGTTTTACGTCCTATTAACCTACGGCAAGTACCTTGCAACTGCCCCACGTAGGTCTCGAACCCGTGACCCTGTGGTGGAGGGCTAGTGGCAGCAGAATGTCAGACGCTTTAACCATTTGGCCACCACGGCCACTCACATAGGATTTAGACAGCACAGTATAACAATTACTAATCTAAAATGAATTTCAGTGAAATAATTTTACTAGAAATAATTCACCATATTTTCAAAGTAATTAATTTGGCTATGTTTACAGTTAATACTCAAGTTCCAGCTAAAGTATTTCCATAACGCTGAGTTATGATATTGCAAGTTATATGTAAATTAGTTGGTGTTCCACAAAATGTTAATACATGTAACTACAAAATTCCATGTTTATACAGTATGAATTCAATTGTTACATTCTAGGTCAATCAAAATGAAAACATTAGGTGAATTTTTTCATGAAAGAATGAAGTTATTATTTTGACTTGGAGGACTGATACTCATCAAACAATTCTGTTACAGAACAGTTGAAAAAAACTACAGTTGAAGAAACATAAATAATTCCCAAGACTTGTCTGTATGACCCGCTGGACTGTATGTACTGCACACCTATAGACAAAAGCTGTCGTTAACCATGATGACAATACGAATTACTTTATTGTATTAAGATCCGCGGTAAAAACAAAGTGTTTATATATGTGTGTCGGACGACACCTGTCAGGCGGGTATAGTTCACCACTGGTAATACATTTTACTATTATATATCTCCGAACAATCACATATCTTGGCCATGTAACACTTGTATAGGCCAAATATTGTGTACCTATGTCTGTATATACTGTACAGAACTACAGGGTTTATCGCAAAGCTTCTTCAACTTAACAACAGTTTCAAAATGTTTAATTGAAATTCTTAAATGAAAACAAGATACAAATTCCCTAATAATATCATCCCCTACAAAAGTAACTTTAAAATAATCCCATCAGTTTCAATATTTTTTTTTTTCTTTCAGTAGATTAAATGGAGCGTTTAAACCAATACAATTTATTCAAGTATATATATTTTACAATAGAACCCCTCAGAAAGTCACATTTAAACTTTTGTATGTGAAAACATTTTTAATTGAAGGTAAGATCTAAGTTAAAAAATAATTTGATCAACCTCAAAACATAAGAACAAAGCTATTTAAACAGCTACTACTTTTCGATAAAAGACTTAATGTCAATTGAATGTATAACATTACATTTTGCTATACTTACGAATTCTGAACCACTGTTTCAGACGATTGCACATTTAAGAACTTGAGTGAAACACGAGACTTGGTTTTTAATCCATCAAAATTATGGTCTTTGTCTAAATCGTTAATTATCTGTCTGTTGTTTTCCTTTGAAGGATAGAAGTTTAAATCCCTCGGCAAACTTTGAGCACTTTCCCTCCTGATAAGAGGTGGGTTACTATGGCGACTGGTTGCCATATTTTTCCTCCCTGATGATAGCTCTGATTCCTTTTTGGACGGAGGTTCCCGGATTTTACTAGAA